GTAACATTTCCGTCTCACGCTTGAGGTATTCGGCCAATCACAACGCACTGGATAGCTGGCCAATCAGAGCACACCTCGCTTTTCAGACCGATGAGCTTTGTAAAAAAATCGACGCGTTTCAGAAAGGCGGGGCATAGAGGAGAAACAATAATGTACAGTATGTGGAAAATAATGCGTTTTTTGAACCTTAAACCGCATAAACACATTTCATTACACCAAATACTGTTATTTTTAGCAACATCATACGACCCCTTTAATCAGATGTCCTTGTTATATCAGGAATACAAATAAATAGCCCCATTTAGTGGATCTCTAAAGCAACCTAATAATCTAATCTAGAAGTCTAATAATAATAATATTAGTGTTAAAAATAATAATATTGATAATATTCGTAATGCTTTTAGGCCCCTTATTTCGTCATTGTTATGGTCTATAGGCTAGTTATTATTGTGTCAAAACAGAAATAATCTGCAGTAGTATTGGTTGTAAAAAGGAAAAAAAAATATTGGTTGGATCTGTAATGTATTCTTAATCAAAAATATGTCATAAATGACTTGAGGACGTTAAAAGTTTTGTATCGGTAATAACAAAACACCGAAGTTCCTCGTGACTTTTTACTCTAATTTGTCTTCCCATAATTCCCCCACCCGGAAACAGCGCAGAGTGTGATGAAGCGCGGAAGTATCGAGGGGGAATTCCTCGATAGTCTGTACCTGTCCGAGCTTTTCTGGACATTTTTATTTAATTCACTTTATCAAACTCGATTCTGACTTTCCAGCTCGGCGAGGCTGAAGATGTTTGCCGACCTTAGCGTCTATGGTTGACTGTAAACCGGGCCGTGTTTCCTTGGCGGAAGACCGACAAGCAGTGGATCTGTGTTAGCGCGGATAGTTAAACACTGTGAACGGCTTAAAAGGGTAGTTATTACCTTCCTATTACATCCTCCTATATATTTATAACATAATTTATGTATGTCTAAGGAATTTGACTCGTGTTAGTGTGTGGTTTTGAATGTTTTAGGGTTTTAAATGCGCTGATGCTAGTCGTGTCGTTAGCTCAGTAACGTTACTTCTGTCAGAAACCTGTAAACAAAACATCGAGTCTTGTTTTTCAGAAGATCTGAGAAGTTGTTTAAAATAAACGTGTCGATAAGAATTAAATGTCAGCACAATATTATATTTAACCGTGTTTTTGAAGTGTGTGTTTGTCTTTGGAATCAACACCGCGCTGAGAAACCGTAAACAATTTTTTGAAGGTAAAAGGATCATAAAACGGAATGAAAAACTATGTTTTGTGATTGGAGAGATTATTTCATTTGAGCTGTAGCGTTATTAATGGCAGAAATGTCAGTGAATCGCTCCATTTAGCCCTTGTTGTAAAGTGAAACTAATTAAACCCTCAATTCATCAATTTTAAACTTCATGTGAGATTTTAAAATAAAATAACTAATAATAAAATATAATCCAGCACTGAACAATTAATTAATTAATGAATTAATAATGTTGTTTAAAAAAATAAAAGAAATAAGTTAATAATCGTTATTGGTAATGCTGTACAATTTGTTAACATTAGTTAACTAGGCTACATTAGTTAACTAACTGAAAAATATTGAATACTTTAGAATTTATTCATCTTACTTAATGTTAAATGCAGCATTTACTAAAAAATATTGAAGTCAAAAGTTGTGTATGTTAATATTATTTAAAATGAACTTTATTGATTGCATAATTACTCAGTCAAGTGAGCTGTGTAGCATTATATAGAACAAAACAGAAATGAAAATAAATGCAGTTTTTGATTGCAGAAAAACTGTGCATTAATGTAATGGCACAAATGCAAATTCCAATAATAATAATAATATATTATGTGTATTTTCAACTTTTACTAATACGTTATTAAAATCAAAGTTGTATCTGTTAATATCATTTAATGGACGTGAGCTAACATGAACTAACAACGAATAGTTGTATTTTTATTAACTAATAAAGATAAATAAATACTGTAAATGCATTTAATAAAGACTCATAGTTTGCTGCAGCAATCGTTATAAACTTATTCAATATGCTTATCCAACAATCACAAACAACTGTAAAATTCATTGAGTTTGCCAGCTCCAGATGTTAATTATTGGCTGGTCTTCTCTCTCAGGATCATGGTCCAGCCGCAGCCGTCAGGTGGTTGTACTCTGCAGTGGGAGCTGACTGGAGAGGAGACTGTGGGTGCCAGGGGTCAAGGGTCACTTATGGCCAGTTCACAGGGGTCTATGGGGGTCCCTCCTGAATTAGTGGGAAATGAAGTGGTCCATAGACTCATAACAGATAATCATCAGCTACGAGGTGAGACTTGAGAGATTGTCTATGCCAGATTCATTGCCCATTGATAACATTAAACTGCATAAACAACTCTAAACATTCCACAGAGGCTCTGAAGCGAAGCAATGATGCCCTCAAAGAAAGATGTGATGAGATGGAGGGGTGGCAGAGGAGGTCGAGAGAGGAGCGCGAGTTCCTGAGCTGTAGATTTCGTGAGGCCAGAGCTTTAGTGCAGCGACTGGCACAGGAAAACCAGAGCCTGTTGGGACAGCTCAACCACAGCATCAGTCAAACAGGGAGTCCAAGTGTTGGCATCACTAAAGAGACTGGAAATCAAGGCCAGGACCAAGAGCTGAAGTGCACTAATGTAGAGAAGAATGTCCTCATGGACTCACCAGAAGTAGGTTCTTTTGTAAAGCATTTGGAATTTGCATGAAGTTGTCAGTTCATTGAATTAAAACTTCCCTTTATTGTTTCATTACGCAGGTATTAAATGAAGCTGTACTGACAGACCGAGCTGAAGGAGACGCTGACAGACACACAATGCCTCAAAGTTTGGTAATTTACCATAAATGTCAATATGTGAAATGTCTGTACAATAGAGTTTTATCAGCATTGAGTGCTAATCTGCTTTGACTACTTTTGGGTGTGGTGTGGTGTGTTTTATTCTCCTGGTTCACTGTGTTAAAGTACAATCCAAACATGGCTAAAGATCAAGTTGTTTCTTTTTTAAGTATTTGTGCCTTCATCTTTACAAATCTTTTTCACTTCAGCCTGCTGAGGGCTCTAATGAATTTCTGAAACTGCTGAAAAGCCACAAAGAGAAGCTGGAGGAAGGGATGAGGGCACTGAGGAGGAGGAATGAGGAGCTGGAGAAGGAGAAGACAGAGAATGAGAAAGAGAGAGAAAATCTCCTCGCCACTGTAGAGCAGTTACGCTCCAAACTCAATCAGGTAGAGCATTTATGTTCCATTTGTTTATTGATATAATTAGACATATATTATATGGGTAGTTCACAAATAAAATGTCCAACACCTTTTCACTTTGATCATTTTTTATATTTGTACAATTCATCAAGGTTTGTTATTATTTATTTTTTTTTAGAAAATTCTGCAGTGTAATAGACTTCCATGTAGTTGCTTAATTAATACAAGGTCATAATAACTGCATTTTTTAAAATTATACAAATTATTATGGAGATAAATTCTAAATGATATACACTACTGTTTGGGGTCAGTA